GTGCCGTGGCTCACACCTGTATTCCCAGGATTACTCAGGAGGCTGAGATCTGAGGATTGAGATTCAAAGCCAGCCCAGGCAGGAAAGTCCGAGAGACTCTCATCTCCAGTTAAGCACCAGAAAACTAGAAGTGACACTGTGGTTCAAAGTGGTAGAACAATAGCCTTGAGCAGAAAAGCTCAGGAACTGTGTCCAGGCCCTGAGTTCAAGCCCTATAACACACACACACACACACACACACACACACACACACACACACACACACACACACACACGAAATTATCCATGGCCACAACCAATTCCTGTTTCTGGTCCAGCCAGAGGGGATTAAGCATTGGGGTGGGGGTGGGGGGTTGGCTTGCTTACTTAGCTAGCAGATCTTTTGTGATACATTTTGTAAGCATTTACAGGAAGAAAAAAAGAAAGAAAGACATTACATGTTACTTAGCATGCTGAAAAATTCCCCAGGAGGTCAAGAGAGGGCACAAAGTGGAATGATTTCAAGAGTTAGAATTTTTTTTTTTGGTCGGTTGTGGGCTTGACCTCTGGGCCTGGGCGCTGTCCCTCAGCTCTTCAGCTCAAGGTGAGCGCTCTACCACTTGAGCCACAGTCCCACTTCCGGTTTTCTGGTGGTTCATTGGAGATCAAAGTCTCACAGACTTTCCTGCCTGGGCTGGCTTTGAACCATGATCCTCAGATCTCAGCCTCCTGAGTAGCTAGGATGACAGGCGGGAGCCACCAGCGCCCGGTGAAAGTTTTTTTTTTTTTTTAATCCTTCTTTTCTAGAACAATAGGTGGGTTAGAGGTGTGTGTGTGTGTGTGTGTGTGTGTGTGTGTGTGTGTGTGTGTGTGTGTGTGTGTGTGTGTGTTTCTGGGGAAACAGAGCTGTAATGTGTGTGTGTGTGTGTGTGTGTGTGTGTGTGTGTGTGTGTGTGTGTGTGTGTGTGTGTGTGTGTGTTTTTCTGGGGAAACAGAGCTGTAAGGCTCCAAAAGAAGCCTGAACTTTTTTTCCTGGCTTACAAGGCTTCCGGGAGACTGTGTCTGTCTACCTGAGGATGGAGGATGCAGGGGTGAGGACAGGTACCAACCATCTCTAACACCTGACAGTACCCCTCAGGGGGGTAGGAGGCTTGCTGAAAGGTGGGGCCCCCTGAACTTGGGGCTCGGGAAGAGACCCCCCATCTCTGGGCACAAAGTCTCTGTGTTCCCATGGCTGCACGTTTGTCCATCCACCCCACTCTGCGGCCCCGGGTATCCACCGTTTCTCTCCCACAGGTGAGAACAGCGTGATCCACGGCAGGGAGGGGGTGCCCCAAGGTCACCCCGTTTCTCAAGGGCCGATCTAGATATGAAAATGTCTAGGACCAGACTCTGCAAGGGAAGCCACGGTGCCCGGTGACTCTGAGAAGAGCTGGAGATTCAAAGAACCAGCAGCAAAGAGCCCCCCTCCTCTCCAGGCCTCAGTTTCCCTATCTATGGAAAGAACTTGCCGGCTCTGACCTCCAGGAAGTCACAAAAGTCAGGGCAGCGGGTTTGTCATCTGCTGCTCCCACGTGTGCCCCTTGGAGCACGTTGTGTGCTTTGGGTCTTGGCCACCCTTGTCTGAAAGTGGCCAATGCCAGCGCCTGTTTAGTATCCGTGGCCTGGCACATAGTAGGTGCTTACTACCTTGGGCCTCCACGTTTTAAGCTAAACTGGTTTTAAGCAAGCTTGGGTCCTTCCTCCTGCTGCAGGAGCTGCTGGTGCAGGATTGCTCCTGAGGTCAGGGCCACCCCTGGTCCCCAGGCCTTTGTCTCCAGCTCTGGTGTCAGGGCTGGGCTGGGCGGAGAGGCCCCTCCCCTGTCACTGATCCCACACAGCTCCCTAGGGACTGGCCAGCCGCTGGCAGCTGCTGCTACCCCCCACCCCCTGCACCCCGGCATTGATGGTTAACGGCTGCCCTCGGCCCCAGGAGATGGCCGGCCAGGCAGCTGTTCACAGAGCCACACTAGGGCAGTGAATGATCTCTAGAACGATCGCTGGAGATGTACGGAGTGAATGAGAAGCCCATAAATGTCTGTCTACAGGGTGGTGTTATTCAGGGAAGGAAAAATAGGAGTGATTGAAAGAGGAGCATCCATTATAAATGATCATAAAGGCCTGCTCCCTGACTGAGCACCTGGTCCCCAGCCTGCCGGAGGCCTTGTCCCACACCTCAGGTACACAAGCCTCCGGCCACCCTGCAAACCCGTTCCCTGAAGATTTCATGGGGAAAGCAACTGAGGCACAGAGAGGGGCAGCAACGTGTCCAGTGCCACACAGCATGGACAATTCATCCGCTTGCAAAGGCATTTATTTTGTGCTGGTACCGGGCTGGGGGGTGGGGGGTGGAACTTAGGGTCTGGCTTTCTTACTTGGCTTTTTTCACTCAGGGCTGGGATTCTACAGGCTTGAACCACACCTCTAGTTCTGTCTTGTTTGTTTGTTGCTAGTTAATTAGAGATAAGTGTCTCTCAGGTTTGTCTGCCTAGCGCAGAACTGTGATCCTCAGATCTCAGCTACTGAGATCTCAGCTTGCTACGGTTATTTAAACCGGTCTCCTCATCTACCCAACTAGTACAAGGATGCAGTCCCCAGAGCATGGAATTGGGGGGGGGGGAGTTCAGCCCAGGAAAAGTAAATGGAAAGAGTTAAAGTCCCCAGCCCCCCCCCCCCCACCTCTCCAGGTGTTAGGACTGTGTTCCTGTTGGTTTCTGCCCTACTGGCTCCTGGCTGTTCTGTTCAGAGGGTAACCTATTCCAGGCGAATAGGAAGGGTTTGTGCTGGGAGGTCTAGCCTGTTACTCTCTCCACTCACCACCCCACCCCTGCCGGCTGGCCAGGGAACTGGGCTGCTGCTGCCACTCCCCTCCCCTGCCTGTCTACCCTGCTCAGCCCTGTTTTTGCAGAAGTGGGGGGAGGGACAAACTGCCAGTGCTCTCAACTGTTTGTGGGCGGGGCTGACCCCTCCCTGTTGTGTGGTGCCTAAGTGCCTGGATGCGGGACCGGGTGCTCCCCAGCCCTCCCCCCCCCAGCCTGCGACTCCAATGTGTCTACAGCGAAGTAGCTGCTGCTTTCCAGATGAGCTTTCAACTCAAACCACCACCACCACCACCACCACCACGACCACCACCACCACCACCACCACCACCACCACCACCACCACCACCACCTCCACCACCACCACCACCACCACCACCACCTCCACCACCACCACCACCACCACGACCACCACCACCACCACCACGACCACCACCACCACCACCACCACCACCACCACCACCACCACCACCTCCACCACCACCACCACCACCACCACCACCACCACCACCACCACCACCACCACCACGACCACCACCACCACCACCACCACCACCACCACCACCACCACCTCCACCACCTCCACCACCACCACCACCACCACCACCACCACCACCACCACCACCACCTCGTGAGGGGCGTGGTCTAAAACGACAGGGTGTGGTGGAATCCTAATGGGGCGTGGCCCGGACAGGCGCATTTTACAGATGAGGAAACTGAGGAAATGCAAGCAAGTCCTGAGACTTGTTCTAGCTGTATTTTAGGGATGAGTAAGAGTCCATTTCTTGAGTTCCTGGCTTCCAACCAGATCCACTCAGTGCCTGCCTGCCTTTGAGCACGGGCAATATCTCATTTAACTCCCTCCCTGAGTGGCATCTAATATCCCCTTGGCAGGAATGAAGGAGTGCTCGGAGGTCAGCTCATCCAGGATCAGACAGACAACTCGGTTGTCAAAGCAACCCATGCCACGGGCGGGTGCCACCTCACCCCCACCGCACAGGCTCAGAGAGGTCCAGCCAGCCCCAGAAGCTCAGTTTGCACCCTGGCCCACCCCTTGGCAGGATTTGAACTCTGCTCCTACTGGAAGGAACCCTGGGAAAGGTCCTTTTATTTCCCGGAGCCTCCGCTGCTCATCAGAGCAGCGTCCTGGGCCGGGAGTGATGGGTAGGGACATCTACTGTCCCTCAGCTGGCCCCTGCTCCTCACTCAGCCAGGCCTGGGGCCTGTTAGCATCTGTGGGCTCTCAGAAGGCAGCGTCTCTCTGAGTGGGGGCTGCTGAGTGCTCAGGCACTGTTCACGAGCTGCCGTGGCCCCAGGATGCAGACAGCCCCTGGGTAAACAGGGCTGATCCAAGGTGACAGCCTGCCTGTCCCAGGCCCGCCCCGTCCGGTCCCCATTCCTCCCATTCCTTCCTAGGGCTGGGCCCATCCATTCAGACATGGTGCTTGCTTTGGGAAGTGGGGGGGACTGGGAACTGGGTCAAGTCCCCCCCCCCCAGGTCCTCCCTTCCGGTGGCTGTGTGGCCTTCACAAGCCCCTTCTCCCCTTTGGCTGGACTGGCCAAACCCCTTAAGGGCCTTTCTGTTTGTAAGGGTTGAAGACAAAAAAAAAAAAAAAAAAAAAAGGAGAATTTGGAGGGCACCCCCACCCCCCTGAAACTCATTCCTTTCTATTTCAAGAGGGAATTTGGTTGGGCTGACCTCATTTTTCTATCTGGGGACCCATCTGGTCTTGAAGAACCCTTAAGACCATAGAATTCATAGGAAACAAGGCTCAGAGAGGGCACACCACTTGAGGAAGGTCACACAGCCAGGTTAAGCACCCAGGAATTCTGACATGCCACTTTCTAAAACATCCAGGAGAGGAGAACTCAATTCCCTCCAGAAAGCTTTTGAAAAGGGACATTTTCTAAAGCCCCTGCTAGGGCCAGTGGAGAGAAAGCTGTCGTGGTGGCTGTCACCAGGAGCTGACCTCTTTTGGAGGGGACAAGAAACAGCAGGCATTTAGTGGTCCCTCCCAGTCCTGCAGAGGGACCTACTCTGAAATCACAACCGTCCGGCTCTCCTGCCAGGGTCCCCACCAACGGAACAACCAGAGAAACCGGTGTGATCACACTTGGAGCATTGACAAACAATCATCTTGTGCGTTCTGTGGTAGCCCTCACCTGTATTCGTGTGGGCGTCGGTGGTGATTTGGCTCTGAGTGGCGAGCAATCTGTGACATGATGGATGAGCTGTCACTGTCTATCATCTGGGAGAGGGGAAAGACAAGCAGAAAACAACAGACAAAACACACAAACGACAAACGTCCATCAGTGGCGATGTGCAAATAGAACACGAAGCCCCCACTTTCCCACAATTCAGAAGGATGGGGGGATTCTCCCAGCACCCCCACCCCATAGTTCCTCCCGGTGCGGATTCCATTAGAAGCCAATTGAGAGAATGCCAGGAAAGTCTGGGTTCTTTCCCGTTCATGGGGGAAGGGCTGGGGGTGGGAGGAATAAAAATGGGCACCTGCAAAATAAGGAATCTGAACCCCAATCTTCCATGTCCCATCTCCGTTTCCGTGGGGGACACTTTGAAAAGCTAACAATATTTTAAAAAAAAGATCAAAGAGAAACTTGATGCGGGGTTTCTCTGGGTCAGACAAATCCTGACTTGTGTGTGTGTGTGTGGGGGGGGGGATCTCAGAGCACCCCGATCGGCCTTCAGCAATGCCACGGACTGGGCAACCAGCCTGCCCCCCTCCACTGCCCCCCGCAAACACCGCTCTAACCCAACCAAGTTTTCGGGTTGCCCCTCAATTTCTCCAGTCAAAACCCGAGACGAATATAAATCCCGCCAAAGACCCTGCTCGGTCACCCGGAGTCCTCGAGGAGGGTCCCCCGGAAAGAGGGGGGGGAATGGAATAGAGGGAGCCGCCCCCCCCCGTGCCCCCTCCCCGTCCTCCCCTCCCTGCGCCCCGGGGTCCCCCTCACCCGGGGAAGGCGCTGCCCGGGCGGAGGGCGCACGGCCCACCCTGCAAGGCGGTCCCTGGAGCCGGTCCTCCCGGGGAGGGGCAGGGGGGGTCCGGAGGAGGGGAGGGGGGCTCCCTGGCGCTCGCCCCTCGCCTCCTGCGATTTGGCCGCCGTCGCGGCAGCTCGAACCGTTTTTAAATTTCCCTCTTCTGGAGCTGTCCAGCTCGGAGCATGCGCAGTCTCCGTGCGGGGGGCTTTTTTTTCCCTCCCCCGCCCCCCAAGGGTCAGTTACAGGGCAGGGTCAAGGGGCTGCGCGGCGCTCCGGCGGCGGGGCTCGCGCGCCCCGGGGTTCCGGGGGGGCGGGGAGGGAGGGCGGCCACCGGGCCGGGGGGGGGTCCCCCGGCCATACGTCGCCAAAGGTGGGAGCCACTGCGACCCCCCCCCCACCGCGCTCGCCCACGGCGGACGGAGGCGGACGCGGGCCCGGTGGATTGATCTGCAAAAGCCGGGGTGCACGGAAACCTGCCAGGCGCCCCGGGGCCCAGGAGCCCCGGCCGAGGGCGGGCCAGGGGTCGGCGGCCACCCCCCCCCCCCGCTCCCCCAAAGTGTGTGTGTGTGGAGACACCCCGCGACGCAGAGGCCAAGAGGGTCACCTGTCCCTTTAAGAAAGTTGGGGGGCCCTGGGGCCGAGGAGGGGGGTTCCCCGCGAGCGGAGGGTGAGCCCGCGCTGGGCGAGCTCGGGATCCGGGAGAAAGGGGGGCGGCGGGGAGCCGTTGGGGCCCGAGGCCCGCCGGTGCGCCCGCGCTCCCGCCGGGTCCCCGCCGGGTCCCCGCCCGCCCCGGGCCCCGCGCCCCGCGCCCGCCCAGCCCCGGGCCCCGCCCCGCCGCGGGAAAGGTGGCGCGGGCCGCGGGCTCGGCGGGGCCCGGCGCGGACAAAGGTCTCCGGGCCCCGCGCGCGCGCGTGCGCGGTCCTGAGCTTGCTTCCCTCTCCCCAGAGAACCCTCATGTCCCGCACCCCAATTCTTGAGCCCCCCACACCCTCCCCCCTCCCCAGTCTGCACGGATTCCCTTCTTCCCTCTCTGAGATGGTCCCCCCCCTCTTTGGGGGGATATATGGGGAGCCCGAGTCCCAGCGCGCTTAGAGGGTGGGCGCCCGGGCCGAGGAGGGCAGCGCCCACCGCCCGGCCCCTCCGCGGCGTTCGTTTGATAGGAGACTCGAACCGGCCTCCCGCCCCAGCCCAGCGAGGCTGCAGTGCGCAGCACCGCTCGCCATCCGGAATTATGAGCCCCGCACCTGCGCCCTGGAGCCTTTTCTACCCTGTGTCCCCCAGTTCAGAAAGAAGCCGGGCCTGGCCGGGCTGGGAGTGTCTGTCTCTCCTGTTTTTCAGGTGGGCTGCCACCTTGGCCCTGGGCCCTGGCTTCCCAATGGTTTTCTTTGGCACCTGCGCTCCTTCCTCCTCCTGGGTCAGCAGCAAAGAGCTCGGTTTGTGCTTACCAGGCGGGGAGAGCATGGTTTACAGACCAGTTAAGGTCATCTTCTGGGAAACCTCAATTTCCATCTCTCCAGGCCCTATCTAAGGCATGGAGCTGGTGGCTCACGCTGGTAATCCTAGTTATTCAGGAGACTGAGATCTGAGATCACGATTCAAAGGCCAGCCAGGGCAGGAAAGGCCTTGAGACTCTCCTCCAGTTAACCATCAGAAGGAAAGCCAGAACTAGAGGAGTAGCCAAGTGGTAGAGTGCCAGCCTTGAGGTGGGGTTGGGGATGGAAACAGAGGCTAAGCCAGAGGCCCTGAGTTGTGGGAGTACTGGGGCTTGAACTCAGGGCTTGGGCATGAACCCTTCGCCTTTTCTCTTTGGATGCCCCTGAATGACTTATAATTAATTCATTGGCTAAATTGTCTACCTTGAAAGCATTTGATTCTGTTACTCCTTGGAGTGGTGAGCAATCCACCCATGAGAGGCATTCCCTGATAACTAGGGTGACAGGCACCTAGCGGGGGAGGGTGGAGAGGGGAGGGGGGGAAAAAAAAAATCTCATGAACTTTTCTGCCCAGGCTGATCTTGAACCTTGATCCTCTCCCTCTTAACCTCCCCAAGTAGCTGGGATGACAGGTGTGAGCCATCAGTGCCCTGATCTGTTTTTCTGGTGTAAATGAAAGGATGTGGCTTGATTACCTTTTGATCAGTTGCTTCTGTGTAGGAGTTGGGCCTGGGTTTTAAAGTTCCCTGCGAGCAAGATTCTCAGCAGCAGAAATCAGATGCTCCTGATCCCACAGGACGCATTGCACGGAGGGAGAAAAAGCCAGAGGTAAGTGACTTTTGGCTTCTACTCAAGTCACGTATTGAAAAGTGCTCTCCTCTGGGTCACTTAGGTTTTGAGAGTGTAACTGTGCAATGGGACTGTTCCCTGTAGAGCTGGGGTGCTCATGACATTGTATTTGTGAGGTTGACAGACTTCAAACCGACCGTCAGAACTGGGCATGCCCGTCTAGTTCTCTTCCGTGCAACGTGTTTGGATGGAAGGATTCGAAATATCAACTGTCTTGGCAAAAATGAAAGCAGATTGCTTATTGGTCAGACAGCTCAGTTTCATCTCAAGTTGTGACTTTTGTGTGGTTTCTTGCTCCAATTGTGTAGTGGCCAGGAGGAAACTGGAGCGATGTGGTTTGTGGTGATGATCTATTGTGTTTCTTTCCCCCCAACTGCTGGGTGTGTTGACTCCCAAAGGCTGTATACAAGGAAGCAACACTAAAGTCCTTTTGGGGGGCCCTGAGTTCAAGCCCCAGGACGGCACAAAAAATAAACCTGTAGAGGAGCAGATAGTTGTTCTTTTCCTTCGCTGCTGTTAGCGTGATGGGGACACGGGCTATGCTTGCCTTTGGAGTGTGTTTGAAGAGGAACTGTTAATGAGGGTTCAGAGACATCCTTTTCACAAAGGATGTTCCCTGTTCTACGGGTTCCAGGAAGGGAATTCTAGAATGTCTGAATCCTTGGGAGTCTGTTGTCTCCTCCTGGGTCCTGTTCATCCATGGTCTCGTCCTGTTTTTCAGAAAGGTGTTACTTAACTAGAAATTTAACCTATGAAAGAAGGTGACCCTCCCAGGCAAGCTGTGGGGGCTTTTATTTATTTATTTTTTCATTTTTTCCCTCTGTCTATTGTACTCTCACTTTGGTGGTGGTGGTATGTCCAGGAATTTCTGAAGCTTTTTGTTTTTCTTTTGTGCTGGTATTAGGGTTTGAACTCGGTGCCTGGGTGCTGTCCGTTAGCTTTTTGTTTTTTGCTTGTCTGGTGCTGTACCACTTGAACCACAGCTCTGTTTCCTCTTGCTGTGGTTGGTAATGAGGGGTGGTACTGGACAGGTGGTATGAGTGGTTGAACGGCTGCCCGGCAAGCTGTAGGCCTTTAAGTTCTCTTTAAGTTTCCCAATACTGGAAAACAAAACAAAACAACAAAAATCAGGCTCTTTATTCTCGCCCCTCTGTGGAGCTCAGGGCTAAAATCACCCAGGTGTAGGTTCCAAAGCTCGTTTTAATCATTATAAGAAAAACTTTCTAGAAATGAAAGCAATCCTGGGTGGGAGGCCCAGCTCTGAGGCGTTGATGGCCCCATGCCTGTATTCCTAGCTATTCCAGAGGCTGAGATCCCGGGTAGTTCAAAGCCAGCCTGGAATGCCAGGCGCTGGTGGCTCACGCCTGTAATCCGATAGCTACACAGGAGGCTGAGATCTGAGGATTGCAGTTCAAAGCCAGCTTGGGCAGTAAGGTCTGTGAGACTCTTATCTCCAATAAACTACCAGAAAAACGAAGTGGTGCTGTGGCTCAAGTGTTGGAGTGCTCACCTTGAGCTGAAGATAGCACCCAGGCTCCAAGTTCAAGCCCCACCGCTGACCAAAAAAAAAAAAAAAGCCAGCTTGGGCAAGAAAGTCCATGAGATTCTTACCTCCAATTAATCACCAAAAAGCTGGAAGTGGAGCTGTGGCTCAAGTGATAGAGTGCCAGCCTTGAGCAAAAGAAGTTCAGAGATAGTACCCAGGTCCTGGAGAGGGAGGTACAGAGCGGGAGAGAGGGGCTTAAATTTCAAAGCATCAAACAAATGTGGAGACTTATTTGCGCTCCTAGATGGAAACAACTTCATCTAGGCCATCTCTTGGCTGAGGTTTCTGAGTGTGCATCTTCGTTATGGTACTGCTAATTGGCCATCACTCTGGAGAAAAAAAATCCTGAGACAATCTTCTGAATGATGAGAAGACAAAGTGTGTGGCAGACTCTAAACAATGAACTCATTTTATTTT